TACAGAAGCTCCTCCTCCAGTCTGGGCCCACAGAAATGGCCAAAACAACAAACAAAACACTGGAAATGAATCAGAACTAACTTACCTATAGTGAATCCACCCCAAAAGAAGATACAAACCTCTAACCTGTCTCCCTACCCGAAACAGGAGAAAAAGAAACGGCTTCCCACCCCTACAGCTACCATGTCCAGATACGACTCTCTAAACTGTTTTTACTGCAGCCCAGCTCTGTCACACGCCACGACGGGCCCCAAACACGCAGCTCACTGGAAACAGGAAGTAGTAGGAGGGGCTGCCGGCCCATTCAGGTCTCAATTTGTAGCTGGCCTCATTCCCTCTTCCACCAATGGTTAGCCTCCACGTGGAAACAGACATCACAGAGTGCAAACAATGCCCCCGCATGGTGTGGCAAGTAACAGCACCACACGGCAACAATGACCTGGGTCATAACAATGTAGAAAAAGTAGAATTGGGCTGAAAGATCTATCGCTTTATTACCTATTCAGGTTGTAAGTCGTGTTTTTAAAAAGTAACTAAGTAATTTATTTATTTTGAAAATAAGTAATCAGTAAAGTAACTGGCTTATTTTTTGAGGGAAGTAATCAGTAATTAGTTACTGACTACTTTTTTCAAGTAACTTGACCAACACTGCTGATAACACAACAGCAGCATTGATAATGATGTCACAGTTTAGCAATTAAGGTTAAGGTTACCGTGGCGCTGAGCTCAGGTGGAGTGAAAGAACACAGCGATGTTCCTGCGATCGCCTGTAAGAGCTTTACTGGGACAAAGCTGCAGGATTCATCTGATCAGCTGATCAACAAAGTCTGCAGCAGCTCCACCAACGTCTGTTTACACAGAGAAAGCTGAACTCACTCTGATACACGTTTAAGTCATACAGCTTAATGAAGGCTAACAGCAGCCGTCCTATTTTACATGGAAGCAACAGCAAGCAGGGCGGAGTCTAAACGGGGGCTGTGTTACTACTGTGTTAATTAAACTGTGTTAACATTTAAAAGTATAAAAATGAACGTATGTTTTCACAAATCAGTAGAAATGTACATGATTGCGCGTGAGATTATTTATGTTTTTGCATTAATAAGTTAAGGTTCTTCCTGTTAAAGTGAGTTTTTCCTTCCCACTGTGGCGAAAGTGATTGCTGAAAGAGGGTCATCTGATTGTTTCTTTGTGTTATTGTGGGGTCTTACAATATGAAGCACGTTGAGCTGACTGTCGTTGGAGCTCCTCCTGTGCTGATGTGTGCTCTGTGTGATGTAGGGGGTTGGGGATCAGACCTGTGGAAGTGTGGAGGTGATGGCTATCTGGGATGGAGCGGACGAGTCTCCTTCTGTGAGTTTCTCCACATTTATTATCTGTCTGTCCAACACTGGAGGGCGCTGTTGATTATTGATGTGTGGGAACAGCAACCAATCACTGCAGTCTGAACGCTTCTCTTTGGTCATGTGACCATTTGATCTCTGATCAGTGTGTTCTTCAGTTTCAGGCCTGTTTCTGCTGACTGCTGCAGGTGAGCTGATGTTCCTACACCTGTCTGTCCTCATCATGAGCTCTGACCTTTGGTGACCTTTAGTGACCTCTGTCCTGTTGCAGGTGTGTGTGTGCTGCTGCTGTCTGGGCTGGCTGTTCCTGCGGGTAAGTTGATGATGAGGAACAAACACTAATAAATGAAGAAGGAGGAGGGAGGAAGAGCCACAGACAGAGTCCTCCTTCATTTCTTTTGCACTGCTTAGAGGAGATCTGACATGATGCAGCTGGGCAGATGTTGTCAGTCAGGGTCACCTTTTATATCCTCCTCATGTTTGGTCC